GTCCAGCATGCCATGGCTGAGATGACGGCGGCACTGGGGCGACCACCTGCGGACTCGGAGGGGGCCACGCAGTCATTGGAGGTGTGCAGAAACATCGAGGGCATCCTGACGGAGGCCTACCAAGTCATCCAGAAGATCCGAGACCGGACCCCTGAAAGGCCGCCTCTGCGTACCCCGCCCAGTGGCCCGTCGCACCACAGCGAGACGGTCCCCATGCAGCAGCAGTCCATGCCGAACATCATCGACTTGAGCAGGCGTATACCGCCCCCAGTCCAAGGTGGCATCCCAAATTTGGCCACAGTTACATTGGCCAGCGGGAGAACAGTTTTGGCCCCTGAAGAGGAGGTCTTAGGCTTCAGCAACCCGTACCCACACCTGCAGTTCCAACGTAGGGGCAATTAAAATCTGCCTCTGAGTATGCCTGACAGCGTACATTATATTTAAGTTATCTATTCCAGTCTTGGTTGGCTGTCCTCTGTTGCGAACGATCAGGCATGCCGTCAGGAGCAGGTTTGCCCATTGCATGTTTTGTGGCCATTGTACTTTACATTCATACATGCATGATGCATGTGTTTCGCATGTTGCACCACGATGATGCATGACCGCCACCACGGAATTTGTTGCATGTTTGCACGCTGCCACCACGGAATTTGATGATGCATGATGCGTGATGCCGTGAATTTAGTGCACGATGAGATGATATACCACGTTGCATGACATGTTTGTGTGCTGCATGCTTGTACATTATACTTTTGTTTGCATGCAGCACGGAGTTCAGCCTCACGACCCTGCCCAGTCATGCATTCTTTGCAGTCGGTCAACGAGGCCCCATACGTTTTCAGGCCACAAACATGCTTGTAAAGGGAGGTTGCAACCTTGAGTGCTGGGTCGCTTGCCTGCTGTCTTGACTGCTGTTGGAAAGGAGTCACAAACCTTGGCTATGCTGTGTCCTCGCCCCCTCACCCTAACCCTCGACAGCGTGAAGTCGCCATGGCTCGCTACCTCGGTGCTGATCCAGGCTCCTTTTCTGGCTGCATTGGGAATGGGTGAAGGGATGAACCGTCTGAGCTCTAGACTGCATTAGGAAAACAGTACGTTATGCTGAGCTTGCCGAGGCTTAGGTTTGTTCAGGAAAGGCGAAACCAAAGTGTAGCGCATTTGCATTCCTCTTTTCATGCTTGACATGTTGCCTGTGGCAATTTGTTGATTTCTTTTGTAAAATTTTCGTGAGTGATTTCCATGATCATTATGATTACTCCGAATGCTTTGGGCATTGGCTCATGCGGGGCCCGGGTGCTACAATCAAGGCTTGCCGCTAGGGAATGTGCACGCTGAGTCCCCGTCGGACTCAGCAGATGGACAGCGGCTCCTCTTCGGAGGAGTCTTCATTGTCTTCGCTCCCGCCTGAGAGTGAGGAGGACTCAGTGCTTGTGCTGCGACTGCGCCCGCGCATTTTTCATTTGCCTCGCATTTATCGAGTGGTTCGCCGCACCACTCGTGTTAGGGCACAGGTGCTGCTGGATAGGCCGCTGCCGCTGTTCATTTTGTTCTTGGGCTCGGCTTCCATTGGCGGTCGTGTGCTTTTGCATACCGACGTCCCACTGTGGAGATTGCTATCCTTGTGCAGCAGGGAGGCTCGCGTTTGCATCGCTCACTTTGCGCAGCTCCCTGCTTGATCCATTGCCTGCTGGGCCTCTTTTACGGGGGTCATGAGTGCGGAGGCCCATTACCCATCTCCTGAAGGCGAGGTTGTGAATGCGGCAGCCCATTATCCCTCTCCGGAGGGTAGTGAGCACTCCTGGGCTGTGGCAGGGCAGGATGAAGACCTCAACTTCGGGCCACTCATGGCACAGCAAGATCCAGAGGATCTGGCTGCGACTGCAGCGATCCCTCAGGCTTTTGTGCGTCAATCAGCATCCGGTCCTCGCCTTCAGGACGATTGGCACTCAGTGAATGCTCGTTTGGTTGCCATGCGGACACTGCAGTATAAGTACCCCTGGGAGCATTCTTCTAGGTCTGTGAGACCTCGCTTGAACGTTTCTCAGGCTAGCCTTTTTCCAAATCCTCTGTTAGGCCGGTTCGATCAGGCGGCTGCGACCAAAGTTGTGCCTCGAACTTCGGAGCCCTGGGCTTGGACTGCAAGGAGTACCTTCGAGGCCAGGCGTTTGCTTGCAGCTCGTTTTGCTAAGACGGATGATCAGATGCTGCTTGCTGCCTTCAAGAAGGTAAGGTCGATAGTTCTCTTTCATCCGGAGGATTCGGCGCTAGGCAGGTCCCTTGTGGCCACAGCGGGACTCTTTGTCGAGGAGGCTGTGCTTTCCAGGTCGATCGAGGATGCCTTTGCAGGCAAGGCGCCTGGGACCCTGCTCAAGCGTGCATCTGATTTCTCGCGCTTTGCTGAGTGGGCAGTTC